CTCATGTGTCTCTGGAAGAAGAGAGGCCTTTTGTCTTATTTGGGGTTTTGTTTGTTTGTTTGTTTGTTTTTGTTTGTTTGTTTGTTTGTTTTAAAACAAATGATCCACTGAGTAGAAAGATATTTTGAGAAGTTTATTATTTCAGAGAATCTCTAGGTAGAAAAACAAATGATTGAAACTCAAAATTTCTCCTCAGAAACCCTTCAGATTTGGCCTAAGGAAGCTCAATTGATCACCTTTGAAAAAATCAATAATTTTGACTTTTACTAGGAATAAAAACAGAAACGGATTCATAGGCCATAGTTAACAAAGGTAAGAAGTCTTCCAGCTTCTAATAATGAAAACACCTGGGCCAGGTTAGATATGCTTATAGCCAGACACTTTTATGGCTTTACAAAATAAAGGAATAAATTAATCTGTATATTACATCATCCTAGAGGATGTGTTTCACATATTAACTTACAGGCATATCAATATTTCACTCCATTATTAATAGTTACACCACAATTTTTCTAAACATGATGGAGACTGTTATACATATATATGTGTGCACATGTGTACATGTGTATCCACAGACTCTTGTTTCCCTTCCCAAAGTCATAGATTAATACCCATAATAAGTTTGTCCTAGGAACACAATACTAATACCCTTGACATACTTCTCAAAAGACTATTTATTTAATTGCATTGGTTAGGATTTCAACTTGATAAGACACATAGCAATCAAGCATTTATAACTAATCACAAAATTCCATTCAAATAGAGAATTTTGTTTATTAAAATATATCATAACAAAGGTGATATAAGAAGGCATAAACCAGGAAAAGATATTTGCAAAATACATAACTGACAAAAAAATCTGTATCCCAATTTTACTAAATTCAAAATATCAATAAGAAAATGAAAAAAGGGAAAAGAACAAGAAGAAATTCCTAAACAGGAGCATCATAAATGAGCAAACACATAGATGATTCATTAAGTCAAATTCATGTAATCATAGAAATGCAAAGGAAAACCAAAGTGAAATATCTTTTTAAAGCCACTAGATTGGCAAAGATTTAAAATTCTAAGAATACCAAGAATTGATAAATTCATGGAACACTGGAAGCCAGGAAGCATTAAAGTACTGAGGACTGCATTGTGACCTGGTACAAACACTCTGTAAAACGGTTTAGCAGTCACTGCTAAATCACATCAGCTGCTCAATTGCAGGTCACATTCACGCTGACCCAGAATTTTCACATGTAATCCCTCGAGTCTTGTGTTCAACAGAAAAAAAAAAGGAGAAGAAAAGAGAAGCGGATAAGAGAGGAACAATCTAAGCGTGTCTATCAACAGAATAGATAAATAAGTGTTCTGCTATTTAAACAATGGAATATTATGCAGTGGTGAAAATGAAAGAACTGCATTATTCTCTTTTGTTGGAATAACATTTAAGCACTACTCGTATGTTGGGAGAAAAAAATGTAAGTCACAGAAGAATGCATAACCCCATTTATATACTTAAAAAAACAATACTTACAATACATTATTTACAGTATGTATCACCTTACATCACTTTACCATGTGTCTTATGGTAACATATGTATCACCTATATGTGTATAGATGATAAAAATATAATGACGAACAGAAGAATGATAAAGACAAAATTTAGGAGAATAGCTATGTCTTGGGAGAGCCAAAAAGATATGTTCTAGGAAGGCACTCAATAGAGCTTAGGAGAAAATGGCTATGCTCAATTTTATAAGCTGAATGGCAATCTTAATTTTACTATTTAAACTTTTAAATAATTGCATTATTTCTAATACTTATATTGTATGCATAAAATATTTTATAATTTTTAGGCAGAAATTGATAAAAACAGACCCCAATTTTAATAAACAAAATATTATTTAAGTATAATATGTAAAAAAGCATCCACAGTCAATATTAATTGGGTAGTCTCAATCTTCTAAGCCCTGGATATTTACACAGGAGTATGTCTAATCCCTCTTCTCAAGGTTTGAAGTCTAAGAAAGGAGAGAACGAAGCATAGAAAATAACTCCAAAAGCACATACTGTAGTTTTCCACTGGCTTCTAACAATTGGTGGAAAGATATCAGAACCAAGTGCACTTGAGAGTAAAATGTTAATGTGTAAGAGTAGTTGAATCAAACGGATAGTGGCATTGGCGACATTCATGCTGTGTGAAATTTGGACGTGGAAAATGCCCTCAGAAACTTTGTGGGCCAACACTTGCTGTCACAAGGCTCCTTGCCACCAGGCTCACTAAACAGCCTGAGAAGTGTGGCATAAGCTATAGTCACCCACACAGAAGGAGCAGGGCATGGCTTGGTCCAGGCTATGACCATGTGGCTGTGTTTCACTTGTTGAGAAAAGAGGGGTTTGAATGGCTCTCGCTTAAGCCCAGCTTTCTTTGAGTGGAGGCCAGGGGAGAGGCTGGATTCGTTAACATTTTCTGGAGGTAATATTTATGAGGAGCTTTTATTTTCACAAAGCCTGACCAATATCCAGCACTGTGTTTCCACCAGTTCTCTAGCCCTCCTTCCACTATCTCCACCTGCGATTCCAATCCACATCACTTCAAGAAGCAGAGCTCAAGCCACAAAAGAAAAGGCCACCATTGGAAGATTCTGGACCCAGAGACACATAATCTACAGGGAAATCACAGTCATATCCACGAGTAACTAGAAAAGGTTTCAGCAGAGGATTTGGTGATGAGCTCCAACAGGTAGGCAGGGCGGGCCGGGCCTAGTGAGGGTAATGGCAGATAACCATATTTGGCTCCTGCAAACCAAGGAGCAGGCAATCAGTGAGGCTTCAGTGAGGGAGATAGGCAGCCCCAAGGAAGTCTGAGAGCAGATGTCTGGGTCCCTACTGTGCACCGATGTTCTGATGTGAAACTCAAGGGCTATAGACAAACAAGAACAAGGCAGAATGCTGGTCCCAGAGGGAAGCACAAGGAAATGAAACCAGCAGCTATTCTCAGAAACTGAGGTACAAAACATGAGACTGATCAAAAGGAAGAGTGAAAGGTTGAGTCAGGTTGAAGTAGGAAGCAGGTCAGAGGCTATCAACAACAACAACAAACAACTGATTTGATGCACATATATGCATACTATCTCTGTCACAGGGCTGGGGCTTTTCAAAATTCTCTTAGATGAGGAAGCCCAGACCTAGAGCAGACCCAAACTTGCAGATAAGAGAAAAATACACCAGTTCCAAGGACTGAAGTGATGAAACAGCTAGGAGTATAAAAGACTCTTGTTTCATTCTGGCAGATGCAATTTCCTACAACCCTGAGGAGTAGTACAGAAATTGTTGGACTGAATTTGGGCTTTAAAGCTGATTAAGGAGGGCAGAGAATCAAAACATGTGGTCCCAATGGTTTTTGTCCACTCCTGGAGCATTGTCTTTCTACCAAGTGGCACCCAGAGCACATACTACGTAGTACCTAACAGTCTTCATTAAATACTATTGAATGAATGGATGGATGGACTAATGAATGAATGAACCTATGTGCATAGGGGGACTGCTATTGCCCATGAACCTCCAGTTTATTAATAGCCACACCAGAATTGCAGTGAAATCTCTTGGTGGGCAGCTTGGAAAATGTAGTAAAATCAATCTCCTTCAAAAATCTAGAAGGGTAAACTAGCATGAGACTTGGAAAGTCCCAATTCTCAGGTAAAATTGTGTTTCAGACCCCTCTCCTCTGCCAAATGACTCCTGCTATCTTGTAACTCCTTCATTGCATGTAGCTCCTGCAGTTCATTCTCCTGCAAGAAGAGCCCAGTAGAAACGCACATACATTTTTTTCACGCCCCCTTTCTGATTCACACAGGCCAAGTAAAGCTTCTTAAGTACAGTTTGAACTTCTTCCCTAAGTTTCAAAATGACAATATCCATACAAGCAGCACGTATTTTATAGCTGGATAACAGAATATGTGTTAGTAAAGACTTTGATGCCCTCTCTGTATACACGAATATTCACCAATACAAACGGCACTCCGATGGTTAAAACACTTACTAGTACAATTAACCACCCCCCCAAAAAAATTGTCATTTCCCAAATTACCTGTCCATACCAATACCTACTAATCCCTTCTCTTAATGATATACTCATCTCAGATTTCCCACGAGCATTATAAATGAACCTATATTCCAGATAACATCCCCTCTTACTTTTTTCCTGTATCTTAAGTTGTGCCTCTACTGGAACAATCCTCAAAACAAATTTTCTTTCTGATTAAGTCTCTTTTCCAGCCTTTGTCTTCCTTCTTCCTGGTTCTCTGCTTTTCTCTGTAGATTACTAGAAGTTCCAATCATATGTATGAGTGGATGGAGAAAATTTACCAGAAGTCATTATGTTCCTAGAGGTCTCAAAGTTTCTCGGTACTAGCATACTCAGATATAGCATAGCATGGCATAATAATTACTTCACTCATTCATTCACTTATTCATTGTTGGCAGTGCTTTTACCTTGTACTTTAGGTGTTTAGAGTGGTTTGAAGACCAATACCACATCAGCTAGTCTCAGAATGAACACAGCCCCATCACAAGGACTACTATTTTCTATGACTTGTCAGCATACTGTCAAGATGGCAAAACGACTCTGTGTCTCTGACAAAGTTCTTTCTTTGTACAATGAACTCATGAAAATCATCAGTAATTAAGAGCACAAAAAAAAATTATCTTCAGCCTTTTGGAAGTTAATGAAAACAACCTGTGATTTTAAAATCAGTTAATTTAAAAAATCCTTTCTGGATCTCTTCATTAAGACATTGTTAAAGACAAAAAAACAAACAAAAATTCACAGACACAGATAACAGTTTACTGGTTACCAGAGGTTAAAAGGGGAGGAGAGTAGTAGAAGAGGGTAAAAGGAGGTCAAATATATGGTGATGGAAGGAGAATTGACTCTGGGCGGTGAACACACAATGCAATATATATAGATGATGTATTATAGAATCATACACTTGAAACCTATGTAATTTTATTAACCAATGACACCCCAATACATTTTTTTAAAAAGACATTGTTAAGCAGAATTCATGACTAAAAATCCTAAATCTTCTTCCTAGAATGCAAACTGTGGTGGTTATAGCTTTAGAACTACAACCACATGAGACAACATCCCAGGCACAAATATGTATGCAAGTGGGGATCAGCACAATACTCAATTTAGTAAAAAGCAACACATGATCTCTGTGTTCTTTTCATTCATGTTTTCAAGATTGTTTTCTTTAGCCTAAACATGGTCGCTCTGCTTAACAATAACGGGCAGGGTGATACTTGCTACTTACAGAAGAATTAAAATAAAATAAATGAATGGAATTGGATTCTTTGACTTAAAAGTACTTATACCACCTATCTTTCCTTTCCAGCAGCAGCTGGAGAAAGGCAGAGACAACACCATTCTTCAGTTCAGTTTTACTTTACAGGCTGACTGACTCCAGATGCTGGGATTACTCTGGAAATGTAATTAGTTTCAATTAACCAACATCAGGCCAAGCATCAACATTATATTTGGGATTCAGATAAAGGAAAGCATATTCTTGTAGAGTAAGTTTGTTTACCGAATAGTCTGAAGAAGGTTAAGAAATCCTATTTAGGTCATTGAGAAAGAAGTAGTTCATTAGCTGTGGCTTTTCAAACAAATTTTTCCTTGAAATAGATGAACTCTTGGCTGTAGTTCAGATATGCAGAGATTTTTTAGCTGACTTGGTATTTGTTGGGATAGGATTTAGCCTGGTATTATATAAACAGATTTTGGCTCAAGTAATTATATTGGAGGTTAATCCAGAAACCTGGGGATAGAAAAAAATCTCAAAAAATATGTCTATTTTCAACATGACAAAAGGAGCATCCCCTGGAATTAGCTGTAATAGGATTTGAGTGGCTCTCCCATAAGATAATATGTATGAGCAAAGAACTTGGTTTCATGATAGTTATGAGTGATTCTTTACGTGGGAACTGTACAAAACAATACAGATGATAATTCTCTAATATAATGTGCTGCAAGTAGAGATCAAATGAAACACTGCCAGGCTTAGTGGGAATAAAAGTCATGCTTGATTAAAGAGAGCTTTTTCTGCACGTGTGCATATGGGACAATCAGCACAACATACCTCTATTCAGATTTGAGATTTTAGAGAATGTAGATCTGCCGATGGACTAACCATTGTCAACATGGACAACAGATTTCGAAGTGTAACTAGTAATTGGTAAAAAACAAAAAAAACAAAAAAACTCGTGTTCTGTAAGACCTAAGTGGGAAAATATTTGGTGTCTTGGCTCGTTTCCATGTTTTTAACATTCAGGTAAAATTACCTTTGATTATCATCCATACCAAAGAATCAAATCAAAAAGCACATTCAACCTTAAGGGGTTGAAAATTTGATGCTAATGTAGCCTGAAGGCTTCTACCAAATAAAGGTTTGTAAAGCACTTCAGCACTCTACTCTTCTGTGCCACAGAAAGACTTGGACCAATTGCAGATACGCATTTAACTTCTGGAAACTAGCTTTCCTATTTTACCTGGTCTGTGTGTAAAAGGAGACAGTCATTAATGACACATTTGAATCCAGTCAGCCTGTTAGCATCACTGCCACATCCCTTACATTTTGGTTCAGCTGCACAGATCATACACATAGAATAAACAACACACAAAACTAAGGACCATATACCGTAGTGACAAGATACCTTTTTAAGTCACTGAAAAACAACTTCAAATTTATTTCTTACCATTGCATTTTTGCACACTGAAGTCTCCCATTTAAGGAATGAAAACCAACACATACACACTGATACACACATACACACACATCCCCAAAACACATTTCCTGAACACTATTTACCTCTCTCTAATTTATGGCCAAAATTCTAGATGAAATAATTTGCATAACTCTCCTAACTCTCTCATCCTGAAACCATGCTCTACCTCCATCGCTTTACTGAAAAATAAATATATATTTCTCAATAGTTTTCTAACATTGTCAGCATGTTGAGTTCAACACAATAAACCTTCCCTCCACTTGGAAATATTCTGTATCGGTTTTCAGCAGACCAGATTCTTACTTCTATTCCCAGCTCCCCACCTATTTCTTTCCTGTCTGCTGACTCCCCTTCCCCTGTGTTCTCTTTAAACGTTGGTGTTGCCTTGGGTGTTCTCATGCTATGCAGTCTCCATGGCTAATGCCATTTATTATTTCAACCACCACCTCTATGCTGACAACTAATAAATCTGTATCTTTATCCCATATCTTCTTTCCAAGTTCTATACCTAAGTTTCTAACTGCCTACGACTTACTCCACTCTACATGGTCATTCTCCAGATATCTCAAACTCATTATGTCCAAAATGAACCTCTTCTACTCTCCTCTTTATGAACCAGCATCTCCTACTGAATTCCCAGTGTAATGCATCCCATCATTATCTATACCATCTCCCAAATTTCAACTTCCTCTGTCTTCCTGACCACTACTGCTTTACATGGGGTTCTCATCTTCTCTTATTTGGATAAGAACAATAGCATCCTTGCTTTGAGATATGACTTCCCCATCTTCAACCCTTGGCCTTGACAATCCATCTTTCACAGTCTAAATGCAACTCTCCTCATATCACTTTTGATTAAAGCTATAAATGAAAATTAAATGTCTTCAGGATAAAAATCAAATTCTTTCACTTAAGAAACAAGGCTTTTTTTGATCAGGTGCTTATCAATTTTTCAAGATAATGCTGATGTGCTAGATGCACATTTATCAGCTTGGTTACACTGGGACTGTTTCTCTAGAATCCCCTTTCCTATAGAATTCCAGGTTAGAATTGACCAAAAGTAAGATCATGAGAGATTTGGGAGGCAGAAATGAAGCAACCACTATTATGCTGTGAAGGTCATTGTTCTTTAGAGGTAATGAGAGACAGACATATGCATGCTAGAAATCTCTAGTTTGATCTCTTTACATTTCACTTCTAGCTTTACTTCCTGATTGCCAACCACACTAAGTGACAGAGGCCTCAGGCTGACAAGCAGCCACTTTACTGAAAATTCACAGGGGTGGTAGCCACAGAGATGAATCAACGTCCATAGGCTTTTATACCAGCCTTTCTTTGCAGCTCTACTCCAGAAACTGCTTGGTTCTCATAGAGTTTAACAGCTCCACTTTAAGTCTGCTTTCTGGTCCTTCAACTGCCCTTTTTGGACCTTTACCTCTCCAACTCCTATAACTGCATAAGGTCTCATTCTTATGATAAATTCCTTTTCCACAATACTCCCTGACTGAACCCTGACCCACACATCTGGTGCAATCTTCATACCATAATGATGCACTTCAGGTCCTCCAAACATGCCCTGCTTGTAAGTGTTTCTGCCCCTGCTGTTCTCTTGGTCTGCTATTTATTTGCCCATACTAGTCTTCTCCCCACATCTCCCTGACTAATTTCTATCAGTTTCAGGTTCCACTCCACTATCAACTCCTCTTAGAAGGATTTCCCCACTATGCACATTTCCCCACTATGGCATTTTTATATCAATTATAATCAGCCCTCCATATCTACAGATTCAACAAGCTGTGGATTAAAAATATTTGGGGGAAAAAATGTCACATTGTTTCTGACATGCACTATGTATTAAGAGTTAGGCCTAAGGTGTTGCATGTGCATGGAATATATACAGAACTTTTTTTCTCATCATTATTCCCTAAACAATAAAGTATAACAACCATTTACATAGCATTTACATTGTATGAGGGATTATAAGTAATCTAAACATGATTTAAAGTATTCAGGAGGTTGTGTTTAGGTTATATGCAAATACTATACCATTTTATGTAAGGGACTTGAGCATCCGCAGATTTCGTTACCTGAGAAGTCCTGAAACCAGTCCTCCTGTGGATATTGAGGAACGACTGTACTATAACATAATAATTACTAATTTATCTATTTTTTTCTAATTACTAAATTATCTAATTTACTTCCTGTCACCTTCTCTAAATTGTGAGATCCCTGAAGGTAGGTACACAGTTTATGCAGTAGTTTCAAAACCTGGCACAGAACTTAGCAATGTGATCTAAAATAGGAGTCAGATAAACAACTCCAGTCAACCAAATCATCTGGCATCCAGACCTATGTAAATAACACTCTTCTTCATTTACAAAGACTTTGACCTTAAAAGACCCCACAATAACTGAGGTGTGACATTTGATAGCAAGTAGAGGTATAGTGCAGAGTTCAAAACTCAAGTTCAGTGTCCAAAGGACTACTATTTCCACTTCCATTTCATTCTAAAATCTGCTTAAATCTTTCCAGCCATACTTCATCCTCTGCAGCACTGGTTTTCAAACTAGGTTCCTGAAATCTTGAGGTTTCCTTGGAACTGCTTCAATGGTCCCTGTAAGGAAGAAGGAGAAATTGGTAAATCCTAGATAGGTAAATTGGTAAATATGAGGTATCTTACTCTCTACTCTTAATCCATACGATTCCCTTTTAGGCTTCTGTTTGAATATACCTATATCTATATCTGTATTTATATCTACGTCTATATATCTCTATCTATCTATCTATCTATCTATCTATATATATATATAACTATATCTATTTCTATCTATCTATCTATCATCTATCATCTATCTATACACACACACATATCTTTTGTTTAAGATAAATAAAAAATCATTGGCCTACAGTGCAGCGCCAAAGCTCCTTAGCGGAGCTAGTCAAGATTCCCATAAACTGTCCCCTACCTACCCCTTCTTCTGTCATCTCTCCAACTTTATATTCTAGTAGTTCACAACACAAAGCATGATTTATGCTTATTCTGCCTTGGTTCACACTATTCCCTCTCCCTGGAATGTCCTTCTCACTTCTCCTCACCTAAGTAATTTTACTCATGTGTCTAATATAAGCTCAGACATCACCATCTCCAGGAAGTCTTTTCTGAGACCATAGAATGGGGTGGGGTTTCATCCTCTCCATTCTTCTAGTATCCAAAATACATCTCTATTATAACACAACATTACATTGATGATATCTTCTCCACTATTCAACATTTGACTGTGAGTATTGCTAGACATGTCTTAATTATCTCTGTGCTTCCAGTGGTTAGCATAGCCACTGGCACAGTCAGTGTTCAATGAATCATTACTGAAAAAAACCATCCTACACATAAATATCATAATTTATCAAAAATTTAAAGGAAAAGAAGAAAAAGAAACAGAAGGTGACACTGTTTATTTAGCTCCCAGAACATGCTAGCTCATTTCCATACATAGCCTATTTGAGCCTCACAAGAACTCTATGACGCTGATACTATTGTTCCCATTTCAGTTAGGAAATTGTTATGAACAGAAGTTAGGTAAATCATATGGGATCAGATAGCGGAGAAAAGGGTAAAAAGGATTAGATTTCAGGGTTGGCTGACTCCAAAGTCTAAGTCTTAATGCTACGCTACATACACATGTGATGGTTAATTTTATGTGTCAACTTGACTGGGCTAAGCGATTCCCTGATAGCTGGTAAGATATTATATCTGAGTGTGTCTGTGAGGGTGTCTTCAGACAATATTAGATTGGAATCAGTACACTGAGTGAAGAAGATTGCCCTCACCAGTGTGGGTGCACATCACCTAATCCACTGAGGGCCTGAATAGAACAAAAAGGTGAAGGAAGCACAAATTTTCTCTCTTCTCATGCTGCGCCTCATCGTCCCCTGTCCTTGAACACTAGCACTTCTGATTATCGGTCTTTAGACTCAGACTGGAACTTCTACTATTGGCTTCCCTACTTCTAAGTTCTTCATATTTGGACTAGAACTGCACCACCAGTTTTCCTGGGCCTCCAGCTGGCAGATTGTGGGACTCTTCCTCCATAATTATGTGAGCCAATCCCTCACGACAAATTATCTATCTATCTATCTATCTATCTATCTATCTATCTATCTATCTACCTATCTATCTATCTATCTCCTGTTGGCTCTGTTTCACTGGAAAACCCTAATATAACATACAAACAGCATATGTTAATGCATATTAAAATAGGACACTAAAGAAACTGGATAAGAGAGTGCATTTGCTCTACTAAAGTCCCCCATAATATTTTGGCCTGTTTGTTTTTTTCAAATTTTTCTGGCAACCAAGATTTTAGAGCAAGACATTCTTTTCAAAGAACAACAGTCTATTTCTAACTATATGCCACCTACTCAGTCAATTTAATAAACATTTATTTACCACCAACTAAATGCCAAGTCACTGCATATAGCCTTCAGGGAGATATAAAATTAAAAAGGCATGGCCCTTGCCCTTTGGGAGCTCATAATCTAAAAATATACATTAACGATTCTGAATGGAGGCAGATGGTGATAAGTGCTGTAAGAGAGGCACTTACAACGTGCGAAGGAAGCATAAAACAGGGACAGATTAATTCCAACCTTGGAGTAATAAAACACCTCAGTAAGTGTATCTTTCCCTACACACCAAGAAAGTCTTATATGACCCAAGCCAAAGGATTCATTTCTTTGTAAAATACCAGAGTTTATTCAAAAAAATGAATAGACACAGCTTTTGTTTGCAAGAATAGAATTGAACAACAATAGAAGCAGCCCTACCTATAATGTGTTTTCCATAGCAATCAGAGGAAACCCATGGTTCTCTTTATTTAAATGGCTCTGTCTGTTTGGAAGAGGCTGTACATGGTTCTGCCTACAAATCCATGGCAATTCATAGCATTTCCTTTCAGTGCACTTGTGTGCGTAAAGTGAGACTCTGAATACTCAGTCTTGAAGTAGGAAGTGTAGATTTCAAAGGAGATAGCTCAAGCCTACCCAATGAAGGCTGAAAGCAAAACAGATTTTTCCTTTTTAATATTTTAACGAGAGCAACGACAGCAATTTAGCTAGCTAAAACCTTGATTCACAGTACTTAATTGATTGTGAATGAAGCCAACAATGCCAAATGACTTCCTCTATGTGCCAAGCAGATTTATTAAGTGCCAGCACCACTGTATTCGCCTAAAGTTGTTAGTCTAGAATGCAATGTGAAAGCACAGACAGTTCATACTAAAGGATCAATTTACAGAATCTGCCCTGTTGGTGACAGATTGGTAGTATGCTCTATACACAAAGGAAAGCAGATCATTCACACTAAAAATATTTTAAAATGAGGAAATCCTTACTTAATGTAAAAATACACCTATGATGTTTTTACAAAAGTTTCCTTTAAAAAATGAGCGATTGTCTTAAGGAAGACATGTCTGTGGGGGGGAAAAATGTAAACTAATGAAAGGTCAATGTGTTATTTTTAAAAGCTATCCTAATGGTAGGATATTTATATCATACAGCAGAGAAGAGGTGGGATTAGCCAAAAGCCAGTTGGCCCATGAAACATTTTGCTTGTGTGAAAACTTGAACCTGCTTTAGACAGAATGAGGTATTGATGGAGAAGTATCCATGGCCTTATTGCCTCCTTATTTCTTTGAGCCCTTTCTCCTTCAACTATTCTATCTCTCTAGCACCTTCAATCATTCATTCTCCAAATCAACTTACCCTATAGCTTCAGAGATGAAAATGTTCTCCTTATCTTGGGAGAAAAATCTATTGTTACCAATCTATTATTCTATGATAATAGACTTTTTCCCTTTTTTTAATGATAAGAACAAGCAGTTTATAATACTTGCTTCTATTTTTTCATCATTTTACTCTTTAATGTATTTAATCTGGACTTTGACCCAACTATTGCCATTGTACTAATACATTCTCAGTATTTATCAATTATGCCATCCAAATCTGATGACCTTCTTTTTGTCCTTATAAAGGTGATCTCCTTATCTAATATCATTTGTTAGGTGGGAAACGCTTCTTTACAACTCCTGACATCTCCTTCCTATGAAGAGGGCTCAGTTAATATAACTCTGGGCTTCAAACTATTCTTTTACTCATTCTAATCTTGGGGAAGTTGATGTGATTTATCTAATTCATAAATTTGGGAGGGAAAACTAGGCATGTCGAGCTAATTTCCAGCTTCTTCCTGGGAGTGCATCTGCCTGCAGAGAGCTTGTGTTCTTCTCTGCTTCTCATACTAAGTCTTACCCTTTCGGGGACCCCTTTTGGTATACCTAGATATAATATTGACTGTGACCAGGTCAGTAAATTGACTTAATTCTAGGATCCTATTGGCAGGTCCATTTGGATCCCATTTGGTTCATCATGAGTAAAGCTGTTACTTTTCTTTCCTTCTTCGTTCATTGTTTTATTTGTTAATTAGTTCAAAACCTGGGTTACAAAAGAAAAAACATGAAACTTTCTTCCCCCTGTGACTTCTGATGCCTACTTCTGTTTTCCTCCCCACTCTCTGATGCTTCTTTCTTTGTTGTCCTTTTATTAGTTTAAATTTTTTTTTCTCTTCACAAAGATTTAATTTTGGATGTATTACTTCTCCTCTCCTCTTTTTCTTTCTCTCTTGCACACACATACATATATAAATATATAATACATGCACACATACATATTTACATATGCACACATATATTTTTTTTCACTGAGCACATGAAGGAAGCACAATATTTTTTCCTTGCAAGGAATACATTTTCAGACTGCTTCTCTTACTAATGTTCATGTTTTCTGATAAAAACTTACTGTTAAACAAGACATTGTGTCTCAAAAATGGAGTGATCTTAGGCGTCTGTAATTTAATTTGCTGTATCCAAGCATTTGCTAATATCTTACTCTATATAATTTTAACTTTGTTTATGTAATCTAAATTCAATAATTATCAATAAATTTCCAACTATATGAAAAATGTACTGTGTCCCAAGTTCAATATTAGATGAACATAAAATAAATGAACAAAAAGACATGGACTTTATTTTCAGGGAGCTCTACATTTTCGAAGAGGAGAAAAATATTAAGCATCCATAATTCAAACATGTGGCAAATGGTATGTGGAAAATGATGCTATTATAAAAAAATAATAGAAGGAACTGGTTTACATTGGTAGGTGATGGAACGTCTTGGTGGGGAAGTGATATTTGACCTGAAACCAGAGGAATGGTTCGATTAAATGGAAGTAGAAAAAAATTACAGCTCCTAGAATGAGATCATAGATGTTTATTTTATTATGTTTCATAAGTGACATCCATACAGCATACATTCAATTTCAAGTTATTAAGGTTACAAAATTTTTAAAAAAAACTTTATACACAAGCTTTTCCTAGAATTATATAATAGATAGTATTTATTACAAATATCAGGTTGTATATGGACACACACACACACACACACACACACACACACACACACATACATGCGCGCGTTTCTCACAGGAACCCATTGAGTTTAACAAACGTCTACAATCAAATCAGTCAAAAGCTCTTGGTATCAGCTCTTAAAAATCTGAATCTTTTCCACCTGAGAAGCTTTAAAATGGGCTTGCAAAAACAAATGTAACATATATGGCTTCAATGTTCCATTATAGCAACTCCTTTGAAAATGGATTTGTAATAGGAGGTTGACTCCAGATTCATTGATTGCCAATCTTATTCCCTTCAAAATGAAAATGATGAAGAAGATGAAGTCCACTAGAATTTCATGAGGCACGGTGTAAGCATTGTGTTCAGATAAGCCTAAGATTATTCTCAGATATTATTTCTCTTTCCTGATAAAGTTGAACTCTAAATTTAAAGAAGTGTTTATGGTATTCTGAAAGCAGCCTCTAGACAATATTCTTATCATACCCCATAACAACACATTCCAACTTTATCTCCACATCATCTGGCTTCATGGGGGAATGCCTTAGAGTTGACACATGCAGCACTTTATGTCTTAAAGTAGGGGTTTAGTTACTTACATCATTGTCATTGCTTCCTTGCAAGACTTTTGGTTATGTTTGTGTTTGTTTGTTTGTTTGTTTGTTTAAGCTATGAAGGCTTTTGACAAACTGCAAAATTGTTATATTAAAATTAGTTCAAAACCTTGAGATTTGTTGGAGTTTAAATGAAGATTCACAGAATGTGTGTAAAACAGATCATTAGATCAATATCAAACTTTTATTTTAGCTCAGTGTATATTTTATTGAATTTAGCTTTCTAACGAATATGTGCAATGTTTCACAGACATGAAACAAATAGCGGATACATTTATCATAATTGTTAAATTGGTATTTTGAAAAATTTTAACCAAGTAGTGATTTCAGTTGACTTTGAGTCAATTTCCAATGTAATGTGGTTGGAACAATCTTAGACGTTGGAAAGTGCAGCCCAGGTTTCCATCTAGATTTTGCAGCTTAGTCCTAAAGGGACTGGTACTCAGAAAGTATGGCTCATTTCCCACAATACTAGTTAAAGTTTCAAACACACAGTTAACAATGAAAAATGAATAAACAAATTGGACTTGCCAGAGCTTACATCACCAGTCCGAGAAGCAGAGAAGGAGAACAAAGAGAAACAACTCATGTGGCTTTGTCTCATTCTAGGGCAATGCTAGACAGCACGCAATTTAGGATAAATCCCTTTGCCTCCGTTTACCCAACAAGGAGACTGACGTTTGTAGTTCTAGTCTTGAGGGGAGACACGCTCATGCAAGGCATCCAACACTAAAGCATTTCCACGTAAACAGCCCTCAGCTCACTCTATTCTCCTTTAACACAGGGCTGCATAGAGGTTGCTGACAATGTCACATACTAAATTCCGTCTGTGCTTAGTGGGCATGATTTGCTTTCCTGACAGAGACAGAAATTCACTAGGGACAGGAATGAGACTGTCACACTCATCGTACTTATGTGCCAAAACAGATTGAAATGCCAAAGGTGGTGGGGTGGGGGATGCACAGAGAACTGGATGCTGGACCAGTCAGCCCTCTTTCCTGGCTAAATCACCGGGGCATGGCTGAGGCAGGTGGGCACCCTTCCCAGCTCTCGCTGGGAGAAATCCTCAACAAATACCACTAAATGCAAAGAAAAATAAAGAAAACTCATTACAATTCTTTCAAGTTGAGCTTTAAAATGCTTTTGGGAACTTCAAGCTGTTATTTTAAGCAGTACCATCCCACACTGTAGATGAATATATATTTTGATTCCTTCCTGACTACCTAACACCTCTTCATAAAATATCCTCCCACCCTTCACCCCCAAGCATCCTCACATCCTTCACCCCCCCCTCAAAGAGCAATTAAACCCCATTACCCTGTAGCAGGGCCACTCAGGCACAATGGTCACTGACAGCCTGTGAAATTGTCATCAGATAATCACCATCAAGGTGGCTTAGAGATTCTGTCAAGAACAGCCAGAGGAATTCAGCCTGGAGCCCAGAAAGTTGCTCTAGCACTCTCAGGAATCCTACCCACTCTCAAGGAATCCTGACTCCGGGCTTTCCTTAATGATCAGTTGTTACTAGAATGAAGTCTTCGGGGACTTCCCCACAGGGAAAGGCAGCTGCCTGCCTAGTCATTTTTCCACAATATTTAACTGCCACCAGAGTGGGAGTTCTTAATATGACGACTCACAGGAACCTGGAGGGGATACGAGTATTACTGTCATTTACATATCATTAAAGAAAACCCCACGGCAAAGGCAAGATGCTACCCAGTCCCTTGCAATGCGCCAGCCATTAATGTCCTTTTGGCAAATCCCAGCCTTGTCAGTCTTGTCTGTCAGTACCACTTGGTACGGAGAGCTCAGTTGAGAGACCCCCACTGTACAGCGCATTTTGTTCAGCCCTACTTCCCCACCACAGACTTGGTGAGGTATAGGATCAGTTTTCACGAGCCACATCAGTCTATTAACCTTAGAATATTGGTCTCTTCCAGCCCTGTGGGTAAAGGAATCTTGTAAGAATTGGAGGTAGGCAGTCCCCAGTGTGCAGCTCAGAGAGCAGCATTTGAAGTCGTCTTGCCTGGATCAGTACAGGCAACCACCTCTAACTTTCCTCAGCACACTTTTCAACAGGGAACCAGCAGAAAGTGTCTCAGTTTTGCCTTTTTCTTCATCTGAAAGCAGCACAGGAAGTGGCTCAATGTGGTGTAATTAACAAATGTTCATTGAATGTTTACTGTAGGTAAGTTCTCCATAGATGAGGAAAAAAAAAGGAGTTATGAAGTCACCCTCCCCATAAAATAAAAAGGAGAAAAAAAAATACTTGTTTGCATATTTATATTTAATGAAATCTATGGCTTTATATCAGCAATATAATTTTATTACTCATGGTTTGTAAACATATGCAAACAAAATGTAAGGTAAACATCCAGCTCATAGACTAAAGAGCTGAAATGAGCCCTAGAAATCATCTTGATTAACCTTCTCCACTTACTGATAAGGGAAACATCCTTTCTGGGAAGTAAGTGGCTGAGAGAGCAAGCACACAGTAGGGTAAGCACCAAGGAGTAACTGCTTCGTCAACAAACAAGATTGGTTCAAAATTAACCAAAGTCAGGAGCAGACAAAGAATTAAAAAGTCACTGGGTTCCCAAGCCTGCATGTTTTCTTTCCCTGTTTTTATATATGTTATTCAGCCCATTCATGCAGATAAAATGTCAGGGAACCACTATAGCAGTAAAAACATTTTTTCACAGATGATAAAAGGACACTTAAAAAGAGAAAGGCAAGCAATAAACAAGTCCCACGAAATTTGAGTAACTCAAAATACAGGGAAGATGGGCAGGGAGAATGGGCCCTTTGGGTGAAAACTATCATTATATACTATTATACTTTTAAGTAAATGCATAAATGCAGCTAATAAAACATTGTCTGATAGAGCTATTATCAGATCAACTTTTATGAAAACAAGCTAACTTTGCTTTATATGTGGGTGTGCCTTCTAGAATGGTATATGATGAGGATGATATTTTTAAAACCTCCAGCTATATTTTATCACTTTTGAATACAGATTTCCCCTTCTCCTTAAACCTTGTGCCATTAGGGGTGGGCCAAGAGACTTGCTGCCTAAAAGAGAGATGAAGAAAGATGTGCAATAGTATAGAAAGTCATCTGTCTCAAAGGAATAAAACCAGGGGGGGAAAAAAAACAAAAAAACCTTCCCTTAGAAAGTGGCCATGTGTGTTTTTTAGGGGAAAGGTTGGTGAAACCTGGAGAGAAAAATAATGGACAGATTAAAGGGTAAGATATAACTGGTTTCACTTTCTTCTTTAAACTCAAACCATAATGAGAGGGGTTGATAGAGGACGAAAAGCTTGAGGGGTACATACAGCATAGGTAGGTTCAGGAATAGCCAAGAAGGGCCCCCCAGTACTGCACACAGACTTAGGGAAACTCTGTATTACAGGGAAACCTTGGTTTGGATCCTGAATCCAGCATGGTGCCACACTCTCCACAAAGCACCTGTGGCCGAACACATGCCTGAACAGTCACCCTGAGCCATGCACGTGGCAGATGAATATGAAGAGAAGCCGTGAAGGATCTGTGTTGTCAGTACAGGCCTCTGAACCCCATGGTCCCTCATATGAAAGTCCCTTACAGTTACAGATTTTTGTCTAAATCTCCCTTTAGCTGGTTGCTCTAACTGAAACCCGGCTCTGCCTTGAGGACACTGCTTCTAAGTGGTGGCAGTTTTCCCTTTCACACCCTTCACATTACTGCCTTTGGAGGTCAGTTAGGTGCTCTTTTTGCTCCTCCAATCTCCTTAAAATAAAACAAAACATTCTATCTGGCTGTACCTCCGACTTACACCTCCTTATCACAATAACCCAGTCTCATTAAGGAGAGGGGATGATCATTGCTCCTTTTTACTTGGTGAAACTTTAAGACCCTAGTTCACTGACAGTCCCACAAATATTACTTGTGCCTTAGCTAGCATTCCCATTTCCACACAGGTGCATAGTAAAACTTCCAATATGCTTGTCTTTAAATTCTTTGACTTGTGTCTTTATCTGCTCCTCACTGATAGCATCTTCCATTTGCTCCTGCAAATATAACTAGAAATCAGCTTTGACTCCTACTTTTTTTTTTTTTTTTACTCCCAACTATTCTGTCAGCTTTTGGGGCAGCTGCCTCACCTCCAAGTAGCCTATATGCTTCTGAATATG